TTTGTTGCTAGGTACGTTTAATAAATTTGTTTTTAATATACGAGAACTCATAAATGTGCACTATGAACGCCGATTTTCCTACGCACGTTTAATGATGCTTTGTTTTGTGAATTGGCAATTTGACGTATATATATCGCGATATCACAAACATACGTAAATTTCTCTCACGCTGTATACACGATAGTATATTACTCGCTATCAAACGACGCAATCAAAATTTTTTATTTAATTTGTTTTATGTATATAACATTAAAAAAAAACAACAAAGTATTGTAATTATATTATTTTTAAAGCAATAATGTTTGTTTTTGACATGATCCAAATCCATAATCCACGTTAAAAATAAAAATTCTATTTGCGTGTGCTTGATTGCAATATCTGCATTCAAGAATTTAGAGCTAATTGCTGATTCCTCTAATCAAACCTTTACTAATCACAATAGTTTCAAATTAATCGCAGAATTGGCGAATAAAAGAAACAGCAGCGGTTTGAGATATATCTTTTATAAAATGTTTACAAAAATAATTCTTTTGTATATTCAATATGAATCGTAGTTCTGTAAACAGAGATAAGTCCTTTTAATTAATTGATCCCATTAAATTTACGAGAGTTTGTTAAAGCGTTGATTATTAAAGTGCATCGAAAATGTTGTAAGATATTGTCTAGATTGTATCGCTAGAAGCAACGAGTTGAATCTAGGTTTCTCTCTTAGATGACTTATTATATCGGAAAATCGCTTAGCCGTGCTCTTGTTAAAATATTTGAGCACCTTCAAGCTGCGCGGACGGGTAAATACGAATCACTGTCTTTTCATTTTTCTTCGTAAGCCATCGTACGTGAGTTGCGAGTAATTACGAGACGTTGTATAGGTGCAGTACACGTCGGGGCGAGAAAACACTATTTTTTATTCATATCGCGCATTTATGCCGCACGTCTAAAGACCATGTCTTTAGATGCAATGATATTCAAGTGATATCGTACAAGAGACGTTCGCACACAACTCGTAACTCAGTTTTAATTTCACATTATGTTATATCGTATAGTGCTACAAATGTTACAAGTTTATATCCGCATTTTATACTTTTACTTTTTCAAAACCGATATTCAAGCTTTTATTGCAATAACAATAATGAGTGAAATTAATTTGTGTTCAAAAAGTCATATAGTTATTAAGTAATATTCGTGTGAAACAAACAAAATATTTTTAAAATAACATTTGCAGCATTATGTTGTTAACACGATATGGGCATATGTATGTATATGTAATCCAATTATATAAAGTTATTTGCGGTAACGACAGTAGCAATTGATACGATTTCTGTACGTTTATTTCCCAATTAGTCAAATAAATAGAATTATATCGATGTGCCGCTGGCGTCGCCGGATACCAGACTTATCAATAATTAAAAATACCGATAAATCTTGTTAACTCGCAATCAGTGCGGATATTGTGTTAAAAACCATTCATCCCGAATGTGTCTTTTTTAAGAATACTGTTATCGGGATATATATCGAAGTTTCGCCGGTATTATCGTCGCGTCGATCGCGTCGATGATACGCGAGCCCATCGCGCAACGTTCTCTTTCGTAGCTTACGGCCGGCGACGATTACGCGGTGCACGCGAACGGAAGAGAAATCGAAGGAGAAAGGATGAGCGATCGTCCAGAGACCAGGACACGGTATACACCCTCGAGGGGAACTTGCCCGAGTCATTTTTCATCGCGAGTCGCGAAAGCGCTCGCGCCTCGAGAAGATATCTCGTGAAATTAAAGAACTACCCGCGGATACCTTTTCTACTTGCTGCAACTAAAAGGGATGAAATGAGGGTGTTGCGGATGACGGGGTGCAACGGGTAGCTGCTAACTCGAAGGGGGGAGGGGCGCTAAGGAAAGAGTCCGAGCAAAAAAGGTAGGTATACACAGGTATCGTCTCGTGCAACCGACTGACGTAAACGAAAATAAAGAGTCGCCGCCGAGTTCTGATTTTCTCTTGCCGCTTTCAACCGGCAAACCGGGTGGTCGCGGCACGTCCAAAGCAGAAAACAGCGCGCGAAACGAAAAAAGGATACGGAAGCGTTCCGCCGGTGGCGGATGCGGAGAGACAGAGGGAACGAGAGATTTCCGTGGCATTTACTCAGGCGCGTTCGCGCGCACGCGCGACAAGATTACAGCGACGTGCAATTATATCGTTACCGCGAAACGAATCATTTGTAAAAGCGAAACTACGCTGCGATGCGCGCTCGCTCCAGTCGTATTTCGGTCATACGCGAATCTAAGTAATTGCACGAGCGTTGCGATTCCATCAGCAGATCCGCGATCGCGCGCATGTGACGAAGGAGAATGACACGCTCCCATTACGCGTGCTCACAGAGCTCGTCATGCGTATGCAATAGGGGTATGCAATAGGCGTATGCACTCTATACCGACATTCTCAGAAAGAGAAAGAAAAAGAAACAGTATACGTATGCATATAAACGCGCGCGCGCGCGAATGCACTACACGCGTATCCTCTATCAACCCCGAGAGCTTTTGCACCCCCGTCTTGCACACACAATTTACAACCATCCCTCCCTTCCCATCGTCCGCGCTTCACCACCACTTTCTTCACAGTCCGCTCCGGTACACTCCGGCACCTTCCTTTCCGGGTTTCTTTCTCCGCGAACGTAACCACCGCTTTTCCACCCTCGTCTTCGCCCTCGAGTCGCTTTCTGGAAAATGTCCTTCCCTTTTCCTCATTCGTCGTTCGTCGACTAGACTGCCTCCGCCTGTCCGGTACATATGAGGCACGTGGCGGACACAACTGTATGCGACACACATCGCCTACGGGCCGAATAGACACGCGTTGTACAAGGAGTGGAGAGGCGTTCTAAAACGGCGTCGAGTGTATTACGACTTTGGCGTAACAAGAAGTTTTTTTTTTTATTTCCTTTTTTTCACTCTTTCCCTTTGCCCCCTTTCCCCTCCTCTTTCTCTCTCTCTCTCTTCTTTTCGTCCCTCGCCTCTCTTTATGTTACGAGCGTAGTTGGTAAGCGTCGAGCACATTGTCGGTAGCACTTGGACGATGAGACGCGTTGACAGCTTCCGCGATGAGGATGGGAAAGACGATGGTTGAGCGGGATTGTCGGGAACAGAGAAGGGGATGACGCGCGGAGGGTGGAAGACGCGCAACGGACATTCATAAATAAAACCGCGTGCGGCGTCGTCCCACCGAGATCTTTGTCCTCTTTTTTTTTTCCTGCAAAGAATAAGTACGAAGAATGCTATCTACTTTTTTAATGAGATATCTCGACTAGGTTGCGACGCGGCAAAGCGATAGGTGCGTTCCAAAGTGCAGTCGCCGTACTCCGCGAATATTGGATCGGATAAAAGAAGGATTGCTTTTACAGGAAATGGTACAAGGCAGCGAAGCCGGTAACTAGGTCGTGCACATTATTATTCTCTTTGATTTGGCTCTTCTGACTATGATAGCTTTACAGCTTGACACTTACAGCTTTAGCATATCGTTTTTATTTAATTCCTATGTGAAACATTTAACTCACGTCATGGAATAAGTTTAAAAGCATTACATTCTTACGTATGAGTTTAATATGCTGATTGTGAGATATATATTTTGTCATATTGTGTAATATCAAAAACTTGAAGTTAAACTTTTCCACATAATGCTTTCGAATTGACGTAACAAGATTGACGTACAAGCAAATTATATTTTTAAAATAAATTATTTATGATAGAGAAAAAAAAATTTTAAATTATTATATCGAAGATTAAAATAAACATCGCAATGTTTAAATGAAATTTCTCGTGTCAAAAAAAGAAAGTTACGTAAACATGACCGGAATATACAGCGGCTGCATAATTTATAAAAGCTTCGTACAATATTATTATTATTACATTGTCAAACTAATTTACGAAAGTATCACTGAATATGTAATGCGCCTTTATTACTTTCCTCTAATAACACATCGCTGGTTATTTTGCCTAACGAAACAGTTGAAAATTGTTCGCCGAATACAATTTTCTATTTTAAATTTCTCGTTAAACAAAACTTGCTATTTAAATCTGTTTTACAACGCGATATGATAAAATATTAACTCCTCTAACGCTGCTTGCAACAGGCTAGAGTGGTACAAAGTACCCAGCTTCGCGCGTCTGTTATCACACTGAATATGATAGTGCTGCGGGAACGCGGAGATATGAAATGCATCTCGACAATTCAATTCTGTACATACTGAAACATGTGTCTCAAAGTATATACTTATCAGATATACAATCGTTTCCTTTTCCAACTTAAGAAGTTGCTTAAATTTGATTCGACGCTTTATTATTCATTTTTCTGATTGGTTCAAGACAGAAATTAATAATAAATGCTATTACAAATAATAAGAACACACAGATAATAATAAGCAATGAAATCATTATATTCAAAATGCAATAGAAATATTTTGAAATAAAGATATTTCTCACTGTATAAAAATTATTTCAAAAATGTAAGTACATATAGCGTTGTCTAAAAACCGATAAAAATTTTAAAAATATATATTATTGCAAAAAAGTTTATTGCTTTTATATTTATTCGATATTTTCCTCGTTTATATGATCATTCGTCTGAACTGTCAGGATAAATTGATTTATATCTAGAAGCATTGCATTCTGTGTATATATTTACATAAAACTTTTACATACTTTGAAACCTCTTCTAAAGAGTTTTCAAAATACTAGAAAGTAGTAAAAAGTTCAATGTATAATATTAAACTCTTATTTAAAGTTAAAAATAGTTGGTATAAAATATTGAAACTACGTGAAAAGAACGAAAAAAAAGATATACATGCAAGAAGACAGAATACAAGAAAACAGCTAAAGTTTTATAACAAAAATTTGGTTAATTATCTTTATTGACCGAAGCTCTTGTATATTAGGATTTAAATCAAAATAGCGCTTTATGGAGTTCTATTCGAGTGAATTTAATTGTCCAACTTGTGTGTGTGTGTGTGTATGTTGCAGGTAGCGTGGCTACGAGTCGATACGCAGACGATTCTGACGATAGCGAGTCATGTTATTACGAAGAATCATCGGATCGCTGTGACACATAGTGGCCATCGAACATGGTCCCTGCACATAAGAGACACACGCCAAAGTGACAGCGGCTGGTACATGTGCCAGGTTAATACTGATCCGATGTCCAGCATCACTGGATTTCTCGCAGTCGTTGGTAAAGATCAAAATCTTTTAATTCTTTTCGAAAGAATTATTTTTATTTCACGTTTATAGTGGGAGAATGAAGCGTTAATGAATTTTGAAACCATATATAATATTAATTGTGCAAGTTTAATTAGTAGAAATGTAATTAAACTCCATATTATGTGAGGCCTGTATAACGTAAGGCGAGAAAAACATACCAGCTAAAGTATATATATATATATATATATATATATATATAAATAGCTTAAATATATTTTAATGGACATTTACTGCGCGTGGTAAAATCACATTAGCTAGTTGTACGGTTAAATCCAGACATTTTAATGTCATATTAAACAAATAATAAACCATAATTATTGCAAGCTTTTATCGAACAAAAAGATGTCATATCCGTCGCCAAGAGAACATCGTGTCATATGCACAATGTGAATGTATATAATACTGCGCGCAGCTTTATTATCTTCTGCTCGAAAATTACAAATGCTTTCTATGTCGCGCTCAGCAATCAATATTGATTATTATGTTACACAAAGAAACTGACATATCCACCTGGTGCAATTTCATTGATGAGCGGCTATACATCGCAATGCTTTGAATATATCAACTTTGTGCGGATTGTCCATTCGCTTTATTTCAAATAAATGACAAAATTTTTTTGATAAAATCTCATCGCGTTATAAACAATTTTTGGTTCTATAATATTATTATTACTTGCTAATTGTGTGCAACATTAAAAATACAAAGGCCAGAGAGAAATTGCACAAAGATCGTATTGATAAAATGCTTTATCTATGTATTTTCCATTTAAATTTCATACATAAATTTTTTTTGTTGCAATATTAATTATTATCTTTAATAACTGAAAATTAAATAGTTTTAAAAAGCATCATTGATTATTAAAGTGGGTGCTTATTAAGCAGTGACCTATATTTTTCAATTATTATATATATATTTTTTTAATTAAATAATAATATTAATGTTAACTAAAATTTTTTTGAATATAAAGAAAGTCACCATATATTTCACATATATAATAATCGGCATATTGCGTACGCAACTTCCAGTTTTTATAACGTCTAAGAAGCGGAAAATTGAAAATGAGGCGGGGCATGAAAATTCCGGAATGATTTAAGGACTGCTGCTGACAAATATTTGTGCGAGCAAATCGTGCGTTCGGGATTGCTCGTGAATTTGTAACCCACGCCATCAGAAACTCCAAGATCCTCGACTAGTCCTTGCGAAACTCGACTAAGCACTGGCGGATTCAGCGTTTTCTATGTATACGTAACTCGCGATTGTCCCGCGGAACACGTCCTTTGCTGGCAAGGCGCATCCTTCTTCCCGCGACTATGCATCAACTGATCCTTCCTCGGAACTTTCTTGGCACTTGGTACCACCGTCCCTGTTACCGCCAACTTGTCAAACTTCGCCAACTACGGTCGTCTTAGCGGACACCGTAGTACCTCCAGAGGAAGCCATGATTGCTACTACGAGACACCGATATTCAATCCTTGATTATTTGTTTCGCGGCTTTCCAAGAAATACTATGAACAACATTATGAGCTTTGCATAGCTGAATTTCATCTTAATTAATTACTTTCTCAAAGGGACATATTATATTCTTTTTTACCTGCTTTACAGAGTAATATGAATGATTTGGCAATTAAAATCTTATGAATTATCATTATATTACTCTCATATCAATTTTATAATTTTTTAAATATTTATATTAAATATTTAATCTTTTATTTTTAGTAGAATGCTGTATGGAATAATCATCAAAATAGCTACTGGATAAAATAACGTTTGCTAACAAAATAGTGAAATTACTGTTATCTGATTCAACACGTTAAAAGTTTTGATACAAAATAATTGCTTTTAAAGCTTACAACGTTTTCTCATTATTGTTTACGCTTGACAGTTGTCCTATTTTTATTAGATAAGGCACTCGACTTTCCTTGTTTTTTTATTAATGAACGCATTCTTTTTCACCCTACTACCAATTATCAGTTGGCTTGACGAAGGTCTGACACAATTCCTGATCTCTGGAGATCGTTGGTCAGCTCTATCGCGCTCTGGCGCAATAGCATTTGAGAGATGAATATCGGACTGCCGGAAATTACCAAATAAATGCTGGCATTCTATACTCTTGCGAAAAGCTAATGCATCTCCATAAATATCTCAGCTGAGCTTACTGATTTATATCTCTTAACAAGCTCACAGATAGTATCCCATTGATACATTGCAAAGCTCACGTTAACTAGGATTTAAGTGAGACGAGCGAATATTCACGGACGAATTGTACAGTTAAACATTTATTTCCAGGAAAAAACGTTGAATTCGCTTGCATTTGTGCAATATGACTCGACACGTTATCGCAATAACAGCGCAGATATTTCATAATTTCGTACTGTGAACACTAGCATGTTTTTGTCTTCTATCTATTAATTTTAAAAATTCAAATAAATTTGATAAAGAAACAATCACTAATTTCAATTACCATTCATTTACTTAAAAAAAAAATTAAATATTAATGACAACTATTTTATATGTTTCACACTTAATATACAATGTAAAACTACCACAACGTATATTTCCTCACTGTACCAATGAACGATATCTTTCATTTTATTTAAATTTATATTTCTTCTATTTGCACAAGGTTTTCTCATCGACGTTTATTTTTGACTACGCTTAAATAAATTGTACATTAAAAATTAATATTAAAAGTTGTTTTTAAATAATAAATGTAATATATAAATCTCTTATAAAAGCAATTTTTATTTTATTAGACTACCAATTTGTTTTTGTCAACAAAGAAATGTATCTATTAATTTGTATTTATTAATAAATTGTAATATAACATAACCAAAATAATA